TTTAGCAAAGGTATTTCTGAGATGCATTTGATATATTTCCCCAAATATTGTTGTTACAGAGTGCATATTACGGCTGCAGAGGACAAAAATAAATAATCGAATGAACAATATATACGGAAGCTACAGCTATATCTGAACCGATTTCGATCCATACTATTCGGGCTGATATTACACGTTTGGTGCACAATAAAACGCAAATCGGACGAAGATATATATGGGAGCTATATCTAAATTTTGACCGATTATCTCCAATTTCAATAGGGTTAAGCCAAACAAATGATTTGTGCAAAATTTCATCTGGATAGGGCAATAAATGCGAACTGTACGGACGGATGGATGGACAGATGGACGGACATGCATAAATCGACTCAGAATGTGATTCTATGCAGATCATCAAAAGGCATTATGGGTCTATCTTGTTTCCTTTTGCCTGTTACAAACAAATGCACAAAGACATAATACCCTGACCAACTTGTGGTGTACGGTATAATGATATCTGCTTCATTCTTCAAAACAGTACCTTAATCAATCTACGTGTCTCGAGGTTTAGCTAAGGACTTTGTCATTTAGAAATTTCACTTGCAATTTATTCAAAGACTAATTGCGAACAACGCATAATATTGCCGCTTTATGTATAACCCACAAAATTAAACTCGAATCCCTGCAAAAATATGTAAAGTCTACAAATGGGTAAAAGCGACACAACGATATGCCTGGTTTCAATTCAATATAAAAGTTAATCATCCAGAATGTTTTCATAAAAACAAACCAAAAAGGTAAACCACAAATATTGAAATTGTTCCATGCTAAATTTCATCAGAAAAAGAAAATACGAAAACATTTGTCAAAATTCAAGGACCTCTTTCATGGTTGCGACAATAACTCTGCAACAAATGTTTTCGTGCTATGCATCGTTTGACTTTTGTTCGCTTTTTGGAAGCAGCTAACGATGTCGTAGATTTGTAAACACATATACATATATATGTGTCTGGGTGAGTCGCCCTCATGTCCTTTAAATCCTTTAATATTTGGCCATGTGTGAGAAAAAACCAAGAGGACTTCTGGGAATTAATATCAACAATAAGAAACAGCAGTGAAAAGAAAGAAAAAATTTAAGAGGATTAAAGAGAAGAGCAACATAAATTAAGGGGATGTGGAGATGGAGGATCCTTAGCATAAACATTAAGGCTCTTATGAGGATGGTGAGTAATAAAAATGTGTGTCTGTGAGTCATCCACCTTCATCATCTGTGTGCTTATCATTGGATTTCGGTAACGAACCAGATTGTTGTGGTAGGGATGATATGCTTTTTTGTTATTCGAAGATGGGGCAAATAAAATATCAAAATTACCACTGATGTTGTTGTGGAAAATGGAGCAATGTTAAGTATATATAAAGAAATGTTTGTTTAAATGACTATAAAATTTGAGTCAAATATTTCAATTGTAGTATTTATCTCACTTTTACATCGAATAGTCGTTTAAAAGTAATCGTTATATGATAATTGTGAATGAAATACTAGAAACTAATAATCAATATGGTATATCTCCCTAATTACACTGTCCGACAACATTAGTTTTTTCAATAATTACGGGGAAAACCCAGGAGGAATGTAGGGCTAATAAAAAGAAAGTACGTGCATCGGCATTTTAAAAGCTTTTTCGGCAATATTGCAGATAAATACTTGAAAAAGTGGACCAGAATAACCCATTTTCATTTCCAATGATTCCTGATGTAATTTAATTTTGATGTAATTTTATTTAATTTTAAGAAATATATTCACCGGAATTGTTTCAAAATTGGTATTTGAAATTCGTAATGGATACTACTGCCTATAACAGAAAATTGTCTGTCAATAAAACATGCCAACACTGTTCTGTTCCTGCAGATCTGAAACCGTTTTGATTAGAATGATGACTCCCCTAAAAACATCCCCATATCTACATCTACATACATAATTAATGCAAATGTTAAAACTAATTGCCCCCGTTTCCGAATTATAATCTTCGTAGCATTTGCCCTTTACGTATGCCCCGTGCTTTTTTAATGGTTATCCAAAACAAAATTTGATAATTTAGATTCGCCTTGAAATAATGTCATTCTCGAAAGCATATCATATAGTTTTGCAATAGTTTTATCATGGTTTGTGGCTGAAACTACGAGGTCATCCATTTGTAGCATTTGTTCTACACCTACGCCCCATCTAGTGTTAATGGGTATTCAACACTATGTTTGAAAATTTAGATTCCTCTAATGATTCCCTGTATCTCCCATATTCGTCAACGAAATCCGCAATTAATGTTGAGGTCAGACGCCCGCATTTCGCGTATTTGCGATTTCGTTAATTTTAGTATTTTTTTTTTCACACGAAATTGTCGTTCATTTCACCAGCTAAATATTATAGTATGACCGTACAAAATTCTAGGCTTCAGCGCGGTTCTGAACTGTAATCTCAACCTTTAATCTTGGTCCTTAATTGAAAAAATATAGGGCGACTGTAAATCTAGACAATTTGTATTTGTTTGGTCCATTTCAACCCCTCAATGAGCGATACTATTCAAAACCAAACGCTTCTATTCTGACCATATCCGAAACCTTATGAAAAATTTCGTGAGGATCGGATGGTAATTGCCACCTTTATATCCCTACACATAGTGCTGTAGGCTAAAAAACATATAAAATAAATAATTCAATTTTGTAAGTCAAATTGTAAAAATTACATGCGATAAGAAATATGGCACAAAATTAAAAAAAAAAAAAAACAAGTAAGCAAATGCTATAGTCGTGCGGAGCCGACCATGTGATACCCTACGACACTACAAAAGGTTAGAAGTCACCTTATGTACAAATCCATTTTGGAAGATTTCGCCTTTGAAATTATATCATAGAACACAGCTTAGATATTACCCTTAATTTTTTGACCATGCACATTTGCCCATCCAACTATCGTGGTCTAAATATATTCCAATGGTCATCCAAAATCCAAAAAAGCCAGAAGTTCGCATTTTGTGTACTTCAGATTGCGCCTGTAAGTAATGTTAGTATTTTTTCACACAAAAATAGTGATCCATTCCACCCGCCGTCTAAACTCTAACTTCATGCGAAATTTCGTGTCCTTTGGTTTCTATTTGTGACCTTTATAACGGATACAAAATCAGGAACATTTTTAGTTGTTGGTTCATTTCAACCCCCAAATTTATTGCGGACATCTTTAAAACTAATAGACCTAGCCCTTCTGAGCCTTACCCTAGCCTTGTGAAAATTTTGGTGAGGATCGGACGATAATTGCAATATGTATATAATAACCCTAACGTGTGTTGTAAAGTGAAAAAAAAAAAAATTACAAGATATACACTTCAATATTATAAGTCAAAATGATCATCTACGTAACGGGCAGAATTGACCTGTTCGTCTATTTGTGATTTCGCCGGCATTAAAAATATTCGCGATTTAAAGGAAAATTTGACTTTTATTTTTCACAAATGCTATGGTCTATTTCATCCACTAAATATTACCCGATGACCATCAAAATTGGAAGGCTTCTGCCCAGCCCAAAGCTCTAGCCCCATGCTAACTCCCGCTTCGATTGGTCTATAATTGTGACCTGTTGCAGTGCAGTTGCTCTGAAAAATCAGGAATTTTCTCAGTTTTTGGTCAATTTCCACCCCTGAATATTATGCGATCATCTCCAAAAGAAGTAGGGTTCAATTTCAGGAATTTTCTCAGTTTTTGGTCAATTTCCACCCCTGAATATTATGCGATCATCTCCAAAAGAAGTAGGGTTCTATTTCTAAATTTCGTGAAGATCGGTCCATAATTGCGACCTGTAGAGTGATTACAAATTAACATGGACAGACGGACGGACGGACGGACATACATAGCTAGATTGACTCAGCTCGGCGAGATAGGAAGTTCCATATATACTTTCCTATGTGGGAAAACCAATATTTCAAGGTGTTACATAATTTCTGGACCAAATCAAACTTATAATACCCACAACTCATAGTACTGTAGGTTATAAAAATCGCATGCGACAAAAAATATTACAAAAATTGGAAAAAAATTTAACAAAAAATATTCAGTTTTTTATTGTCATATTTTTACGCGATTTGCTTAGGTTTTGATGAGAATTAAGAAAATCAGTCCAGTGGTTCTTGACTATAAGTAGAATAACTAAGACATATTTCTTTAACATAAAAATTGTACCTATTTTGCCGATATCTCTTTTTGTGCATTTGTGATACCGCCAGGATTAAAAATATTCGCAGTTTATTTTTTACATACAACTTATGTTCTATTTTAACCGCTATATATTGTCCGTTGACCAAACAAAACGATATGCTTCTGACCAACCATTAACTCTAGTCTCATGCTAATTCCGCGTCGATTGGTCTACAATTTCGATATGTAGAGCAACTGCAAATTCAGGAATTTTTTTCTGTTTTTGGTCCATTCCAACCCTTATATATTATGCGATTATCTCCAAACACATTGACTTCTATTCGAGCCCCACCTGCATGCTAAATTTCGTAATAATTGCGACCTGTAGCGTGATTACAATTTAACATGGATAGACGGATAGAGGGTTATACATAGCTAGGTCGCCTCAGCTCGGCGAGATAGGAAAGTCCATAGACAACATTCCATATCTTGGACCAATATTTCGATGTTTTACATAATTCTAGGCCCAATTAAATGTATAATACCCCAATGTTTCCATAGTCAAAATACCGAATATCCCGAGGTACCGTAAAATGAGGGCTATAGAAAAACGTTGACCCATATAGATAATGTTCCTTTATAAATTCTAAGTGAGACAGCCGGGCTCATGCTGAAAATGATTTTTATTAGAAATTTTGCCTTCTTGAGGCCATTAAAATATCATCTAATAGGCTTGATGAGCAGCATAACCAACTGCGAAACTCATTGAATACTGGTCGATGCGTGGGATTTTTCTAAATTCCAATATGAAATATATTTTACTTTCCCATTTTACATACCTTGTGAAGATTGCCCAATCCATAGTTACACAGTAGCGGACCAACCAGTGTTGCGGAATATTTTAAATCCGACAGAGATCAATTGCTAGGGTTGCCATATGAGAGCTTTGATCCAATATTTTCATGACGAACGATTAATGATGCTCTTGGATAATTTTAGCCACATGGGTACTTCAAATACGTTGCGTACGTTGAATGCCGTCAAGTTTGTAATCTGAAACAGAGTTGACTGAGTTGTGCATTTTTTTTTATTGTTGTTGGCAAAAAAGATAATCGTGTGAACTTTCACTAAATGAGTTATCCGGCTTACACAAATCCATTGTGCTGATATTTTCGTGTTGGCTGCAAGACAAAGTTGGCAAATTTTTCTCAAAGGTTTAAAATTATTATATGCTTATATTTTAGTAAGTTAATTTTTTCACTAAATGTTTGTAAATATATATATATATATATATATATATATATATATATATATATATATATATATATATATATATATATATATATATATATATATATATATATATATGTATATATATATATATATATATATATATATATATATATATATGTATATATATATATATATATATATATATATATATATATATATATATATATATATATATTTCATTTATATTTCGTTTACTCTACGCCTAGAATAAATTTGTATTAATATATCAACTCAACCTATCTTAATTACAAATGCTTCTCGATGTAATACTAAAATCGTTGTGTTTTGTTTCACACTTCGTTATCAACTGATGATGTGCCTCTTGAAACATATCCGTTTAGAAACAGCGCCAACAACACTCACCTAGAAGCCTTATACATCTATGCAACAAATGTTGCTGCTATTCATAAAATTCACCACGTTTGCATTACAGCAGATAATGGTGGTGGGTGTACCTCATAGAGATGATTACTAAATCAGAATCTCGAAGAGAGCGAACTTTTACTCAAACATTTTGAGGCAACATGTTGAGGACCACACACAATATAATCTATGTTATATATCACCACAACAATGTAACCTTGAACGACAACATTTTTTTCATTGATAAAATCAAAATCATGGTTACAATTAACAATTACATTGGCTGTAAAATTACATGAGGATGTTATATTGTTTCGTATTTTAACAGGATGATTCCAAATGTAATGTAAAACTCGCCGTTGTATGAGGTAGGTTATTTATATTAGCAACGTGATGCCATTGCTGACGCTACTTTAGTAATATATAAATTTAAATATTATTTTTGATGTGTTTGAGTGATCGCATGGCATGTTCCAGGCTACAATAAACTGATAAGGCCGAGCTACCAGCTGATTACAATTTTTTCTTAATGTGCAAGGCTTTTGCCAATTTTGTGTTTGAATTTATCGTTCTCAAAAAATAAAAAAAAAAAAAAAACAAAACAAAACAACAACAACAACAACAATTTTCAAAATCAGCGATTACATTAAAAGTACATTGCGGGATACGCATTTAAGATATTAACCAATTTTGCCATGGAATTAAAATATTCAACAGTTTGAATATTTGTGGTTTTTGGTCCATTAAAAAAATAGATATCCAAAAATCAGCAAAACTAGCTGGATTTTATTTTGAATAATTGTATCAGCAGTTTAAAGAACTTGCATTAACTACTTTTTATAACCACACGATTCTATGGAGAGTATATAGTAGGTCTGTCATTCCGTTTGTAACTCCTCGAAATAATATGGATCAGCGTAAAATTCTCGATTTAGCGAGTTGTAATCACGCTATCTTTCGAACGTTAAAATGTTGCACACAGGTTATTCTGCAGGTTGTAAATGGACCGTGTCGGTCCACGTTATCGTATAGTCCCATATAACAGTACCTCCGCTAGAGTCATCAAAATACCGAATATAAGGTATTTTGATGACTCTAGCGGCATTTTTCACCGAAATTCTTTCAAATTTCTTATTTGAAGTTCGTAATGAGTACTACAACCCATGACAGTCTTTGCCGGTCCACGTTGGTATAGCCCCCATATAACATAAACTCCCTTCATTAGCTATTTAGATGATTTTGGAGACATTATTCTCCGATAAAAATTCTATGACAAAAATTAGTATGCAGATCTTCGTATAGCCTCGCAATATTCGGCATTTTTCTGATTTTGTCGGCATTATTCACAGGAATTGTTTCAACAGCCTCCCATTGGCTTTTTTACTGTGGTCAGGGTATCATGTCATTGTGCATTTGTGTGTAATGATACGACATAGACCCTTTCTGCCCTTTCGATCGCCCGTCTGTCTGTCATGTGTTTTTGTGAAAAAATACATCTGTTTGGCCCAAGGATATTAATATTTAGATATAGCTCCTAAAATATCTTTGTCCGATTTGTCTTGTATTGTGCACCAAATGTGTATTATTAGCACAAATAGAATGGAATGTGATCAAATTGAATCTTTAAGCAAGTATGTCGAATTTAGTGATAATCGGTTCAGACATAGCTATAGCTCCCCTATACATTATTTATCCCATTTTGTATTATTGTCCCCTATAGCCGTAATATGAATTCAATAACAACGATATTCGAGAAAAGATGACAAATGCGGCTCAGATACATCTTTGTCACATTCTATTGAGATCGATTAAGACATATCTCTCATATATATTTTTATCCGATTTCAGGTTTATTGTGCACCAAATCGTTATTATCAGCCGAAATGGAGTAGATTCTGGTACCGACGAATTCAGCCTAGAAGCAAGTGCAGCTCCCATATATATGTTTGATTCGCAATATGCACCCTACAATAATGACATTTGATAGTACAGGTCAGATATAGCTCCAATATACATCTCCATCCGATTTGTCGACTATTGTGTACCAAATATGTAATATAAGCGTAATATAAGTAATTGGACGGATTTTTGCAAATGGTGAATCTTTGTTCCCATATATTTATGTTCCGATATATATTTTTATATCCTCACCCATATGGGTAAAGAGGGTAAATTTCATTTGATACAAAAAAACGTACCAATCGAAATAACGGTTTTATGCTAAAAATTTTGAAAAATGATATATCTCACAAAATGCGACATCAGCTTCCTATGCTCTTTAAGTTTTATGTAGGGCACCATATAGTCGGCCCGCCGACTTTTGACTTTTCTCTACTGTCGATAATTGTTTTAGTAAGGTAATCCTAGACGATTTCGAAGAATAGCATCAGAAGATCTTTAAAATATAAAGCAAAGAGTGTATTCAATTTGTTTGATATTTTAATCATCCTATAAATTATATCAGACTGAGATCAAGTGCAAAACTCGCCAACCCTCCTCCACAAAAAAGCCGAACATATTCTTGATTTTGCTGTTGTCCACGATTATTAAACAATCTAAGTGGAATATAACATGGGTTAAGAGTTAGAGCATAAACCTATTCGGAATGACTATCGGATTATATCCAGCGCGTACATTGGACCACCACTTTTTTGTGAAAAATACAAAAATTTCAGTTTAATTAAAAAAAAAATGGTTATATACCGACTCTGTCAAATACCTACCCTTCAGTTATGAAATTTGAGGATAATGATATTCAATTTTATTATACCCTCAGCCATATGGCTACAGAGGGTATATATCTTTTGATACGGTCAAAACGTGTCTAGTCGAAATAACGGTTTTAGTCCCTAAAATCGGATTCCATTTAGACTTAGCACATCTGAATATTTCTATCAACATAGGATCTGTTATGGAAAACGGAAGAGATCGAACCATTCCTTCTGGTACCTCCCCCACAAAGGGTCAAAGTTTTGAATAACCAAAACGTTTATAAATTCCGAAATAAGCATCAGGTTCTCTATATGTATTTCACACATCCCATTATTTCCACTAACAAAAAATCGGTTTTGAAGATGGGTATATCGACCACAAAGGCTTAAACTTTTGAATATCCATTAAGCTCATAATAAGCGAAATTGACATCCGATTCCATTCAAGACGTGGTACATCCCAATATTTCCATTAACACAACACAGTCCAAACCTAGCACGTCGCAATATTAATATCGTATTTATTAAATTTCGATACGAAATGGACAATAAGAGGTTAAACATTTGAATAATCATAGCAGAAGTCAAAATATTTTTGAATAATCGAACATTGTCTGAGGGTACACATCTATCGTCAAAACCGACAGATACTTTTTACTTGTTTATGCAGATTTCGTTGACGAATATAGCCAAATATCATAGGCAAGCAAATTACATGGATGAGTCCAAATTTGGAATGAACCAAAAACAGAAAAAAATCCTGATCACACAGTTGAAGCCAATCGACACGCCTGAGAAGAGAGTTAAGGATAGGAAAGAATTCGAGCATTTTGGATGACCATTGAATTATATTTAGCTGTAAAATGGACCACAACAACTAACAGCACGACGGAGTGCGTAAATATTGGGCAAATGTCCCTGTCATGTCAAAATGCTAAGGGCAATATCTGATCAGTACTCCGTGGCATAATTTCAAAAGGGACATCTTCCAAAATGGATTTGGAAATATGGGGACCTCTAACATATTGTAGTGCTATAGGGTATCACATGGTCGGCCCCGCACGACTATAGCCTTTGCTTACATTTTGAATATGAAATTCCTGTTTTTTTTTTTTTTTTTTTTTTTTTTTTTTTTGAAAGAACGAATTATGTACTTGATATAGTAGAAATATAAGTTTCGTCAAATGCCGATGCTTTTTTTAGAAATGGAATTTTTTTTTTTTTTTTGAAATCGAATTTTTATCGAATTTTTTTTGAGCAAAGAGGTACAATATTTGCTTTTCTTTTGTAACATGCATGGGGATGGGTATTGTTTAATCTTCATTCTAGACAAAAGAGTTCCAAATCGGTCCAAAGTTTACCACTCGTGGGGTATCAAATTTTCGACCCTGGTCGACAATAGCCTTTGCTTGCTTAGTTGAAATCAATTAAGTAGTAATTAAGTATCAAATATCAATTATATCACACTTTGATCAGTATCCGTAAACATCGCCAGCCCTCTTCCAATAAATTGAGCCAAGTTAAAAAAAAAACAAAATTTTAGTTAAAATGCGAATATATTTGGTGCCGAAATCAATATAAATTTCCAAATATTGTTTTGAATAACCATTAGAATGAAAGATAGTCAAATATTTACAAATAACGAATGAAAATGCATTAATCACCCGCCCATTAGGTAGGTAGGCATGCAATAAGCTTTTATAAGTACGATAAACTTTATTATATTTTTGTAATATTTCGTTCATATGATCCGAGAAAAAAAATCAACTAGAACATTACAAAATTCTAAAAATCATTCAATTGTTCA